ATGAATATTGTTGTCCATTGTGATTTAATATTTTCATAGAACTTGCTGAATGATAAACGTTGGTTTGAAATAATTAAATGATGAATATTGCTTTTCATTACTTCGCATCGATTGTAATTGAGTTGTATTTGGATTTAATTTCATTTCTACTATTGTTACGTTTATTGTGAAGTTGGTTGATTGGAAGATACGTGTTGACAAATTGTATTTGTTAATCACGTACCAACTAGTGGTATTGTCTTGTAGCGTTTATCGGCATTCAATGATAGTCTTTAACCATTCGAACTTGAGTGATCGGGTGAGACATGATAGATTATACCTAGAGTGTCGGAAAGCCATTTCGTTGATCTACCTTGCCTTGTAGGTTTAGGGGATCGTAGAGGGTGGAGGAGAATTGTGTGAGTTGGTCTCGTGTCGAACCAAAACCGTAACAGCAACATTTTTTATTATAAAGTCTTCATTAGTTTTAATTTCATGCTTTTATTATTTGCATTTAGTTTGTTTAGTTTAATTAATCAAATTCCAATTTCATTTCCGTTACTCAAAATACATTAGGGTGTTAGTCTTGCTCTCTATGGATTCGACCCTGCTTACCACTAACTATGGTATTTAGGTTTAATTTTGTGACTGTGACGACTGGTTCGACAACACGAAGATTGTCTGGATTTGCAGGCGACAATTAAAGCAGAAATTAATACAAAATCAATAACGTAAATTAAAATCTAACTAATTAAGACAATATCAATTCAAGACAAAGAGGTTAGGATTTTGACTTCACTAGGATACTCTGATTTAATCTACGATTTCTGTTGCTTTTAAGTTCACATGCAAGGATTATAAATCGGACACCCTAATCTGCAGAATATACCTTCTCGGGCTATATTCTCCTACTTATTTCCGTTAACCTTCCGCACCCAACAAAATGAAGATTAACAGTTCAAAGTCCATTAAGCTAAGTGGAATCCTAAAGTGATTTCATAGATCTCTGAACCTATCTCTAGTGTTCACTCAATCTATGGTATTTACTCTAAGAGGCTAACACATGAATCACTTCTTAGTCTTATCATGCTCAACATTCAATTGAACAAAAAACTCAACATCCAATTGCATTAAGAACAAGAATAAATACATAACCCAAGCAATAGAACTTAAAAACAACATCTATTTATAGATTAAACTATTGTAATCTAAGTTACATCTAAACCCTAACCCAAAAGTGAGTTAGTTCATATTCAAAGTAAAGAAAATCATAATATAGACTGTAAATAAAGAGTTTAACATGCTAGAAAATAAGATAAGAACGAAATCTTCCCTAATTGAAGACTCAAATGCTTCAAATCTCCAATTTCCTCTTTTTCTTCCCAAACAATCTTGAACCTCCAACAAAATGAGCTAAGACTCTTAAATAGTCGGCCAAAACCCTAGGATTTAAGACTAAAACTCGAAAACGCAACGTTTTTACAAAACAATTAACTCCAAGATTCGCCGCAACGAACTTGATTTTCACCGCGGCATCGCGATGAAACATTAAAATGCCACTTTAACCCGCAAGCTTTATGCCGCGGCGAAAATCAGTTTCGCTGTGGCAAAACCTTGTCTTCAAATGATTGAAATTACAGAACTACCCTTGCATGCTCCAACATTTGAATCTTCGATTTTCTCTTTCCTTCTCTTTTATTTGAGCTTCAAGGGTGCTTCCAATCAACCTCCGAACATTCCCGACTCTGAAAACTCTCGAGTTTGAATCGACTAACCTTGTTTTTGCTTCGTTTCAATCCAGAAATGCATTTTAGACCTGAAATATGAAATGGATGAATTAAGTGGTAATTCAAGCCTAAAAGCCAAGGAAAAGTATCTGAAAATCCTACCAAATAGACAGGAAAAACAGTAAAATCCACAGATTATCAATCACTTTATCTATTAGGCTGAATTTCATAATCAGTGTCTTCCAATTAATTATAGTCTCCTCTAAGGTTTCTAACCAAGCCACGCCTAAAATAATATCAGCTCCACTAATCTCAAATAGAAAGAAATTTTGGACCCCGGTGAGGCCCTACAAATTCAGATCAACTCCTTTACATTCTCCATAGCACCTAACATGGTAACCATCACCTATTCTAACTCCAAAGGGCTTTGTGCTAATTGCAGGAATTTTCAGCTCTCTATCACTTGCCAATGGATGAAATTATGAGAGGCTCCACTGTCAACAAGAACTATCACTTCTTTTTCCCCAATGTTTCCCTTTAACTTCAAGGTTTTTGGCCCGTCAAGTCCCACAACTGAATTGATCGAAAGCTCTGCTTCATGCGGTGCTGAATTTTCTTCATTCCCTGCTCCCTCATCTAGTTCTTCCTTGTCATCCCCTTCATTTGGTTCTTCCACCAACAGAACATTAAACTATCTCTCCCCACACCTATGGCCTGGTGTAAACTTGGCGTCACACCGATAATAGAGACCCTTTTCTCTCTTCATCTGAATCTTGGCTTTAGACAGCTTCTTGAAGGGGAAATCTCGTCGGAATGGAGTTGACCGGGAGTTGTTTGCTGGAGTGGACCCTAAACTTGAAACACTCTTGGTAAAATTACGTCTGAAGGGAGGTTTTGTTGTTGGGTTTCTTTGACTGAGCATGGTGGTAGGTTGGGTCACATGTGTTTGGGTTTGGATTTGATTAGTATGGGTTTGGGTTTTATTAAATTCTTCAAGTATGTAGGCAGTAGTGTAATGGCGTGGCCCACTAAGGTTTCCTCCCATTTTTCCTATTCGGCCCAATCCAACTCTAGCCTCATCCAAAACTTGGTTCCTTTCTTCAACCCGTTGGGCCAAGAGAGCTACTTGGGTCAGAGAATTGGGTTGGCCCAAAATATTGGGTTGCTGAAGTTTAATTTCAGCTTTGATTTCATGTTTGAGCCCATTGAGGAATGCTACCATAAGGACTTCCTCCCTCTCATCCACCGTCAGCACCGCCCCCTCCTCAAAACGCCGGCGATACTCCAACACCGAGCCCATTTGCTTAGTTGACATAATCAACTCCAAGGGGTTGACTTCTTAGGCACCACTAAACCGCTATAGAAGTGCCACCTTAAACGCCATCCATCCCGCCATCGGCATCCTCAATTCTGTCCACTAGAACCAGTGCAAAGCTTCACCTTCTATGCACAACGCCGTGGCTTGGACCTTGTGTTCTTCAGCTATTTGGTTGATAGAGAAGTATCTCTCTACCCAAAATATCCACCCGTAGGGATTTTCGCCTAAAAAAAATGGCAACTCCAACCTTTGACCTTCCCATTCTCTCATATTCCCTCCGTTGCCGAGTTGGTAAGCTCCGTTTTGGTAGAGTGGTGGTGGTGGTGGCGGTGGCGGTAGCGGCGGCGGTGGTTCATCATGTTGGTTTCTTGTCCCCGACTGTTCTCCTTCTTCCAACACTACTTGTCGGCGTCGCAATTCTTCTTCCTCATCCTTTTGTCTCATTCAATTCTGCATCTCCACTAAAATATCCCTCATGGAGTTAACACTTTCAATAAGCCTAGTTATGTCTCTCTCTAAATTGTCAACTTTCCCCTCCATCCTAGTGTTAACCATGCCCTAGTGAGCTTAAGCTCTGATACCAGTTGATGAGTATCTCTGATCTTGTCACTCTCAACATAGAATAAAAGTAATAAAACAACCGAAATTCCAACAGTACACAATGTTTCCAACCACAAATAACAAGAAGTAATAATCCAACCAATCAATTAATAGGAGAAAAAGATAACTTGCATTAATACACTCATAAAAAAGTATTAAGTATAAAAAGAACAATGCAGAAATAAGAAAGAGCCAGTTGGACTTCAAGGGCCTATACCTCCCAGACCCTTTTTTCCTTAATATTCAGAATACCCCTATACACACACACGTCCTAGCCTTTTATTCACAATCCCTAACAACTACCCAGGCCACTTGTCAAGCCACCCATTCTTCATGTTGATTCCTCAGATCCCACAATCTCCCAGGCCACCTCTTAGACCACCTGTCCTTCATATTAATTCCTAACCCCCTGTCTTGCAGCTTGCCGCCCTTCATGTTAATTATTGGCCATCTTTCCCACAGCTTTATTTCCTTGTTGTCCTTCATGTTAATCCTTGGCCACCTGTCCTGTAACTTGATTCCCTTTTTTACCCCTTTTAGCCTTGCGTTTGTACTACTTGGTGATTGCAAATCCATCAATCAATTATAAGCACAATATTGTTCTTTTAAATTTGCATTTTTACATGATTTTTAGGTGTAGGTTTTTCCTTGTTATTATGTCTTTAGAGTTGAGGACTAAACACACTCCAATATGAGCCTAAATACCTCGCATACCTAAAAAAAATCATACATTTTGATTTAAACATGGAATAAAATCCTATAACTTTATTTAAGATAATGACATAAAATTTTAAAATACTTTAGTTAAATATTTAAAAATAAAGTAATTTATTTAATAAAATTACAATTTACAGCTAACAAACATATTTATTGAATAATATCATTAAGAAGAGAAAGTAACATTATTTAATAAAAAAATGTGGAACAGGAATTTTACTTAGAGCTTAGAATACCAACTTTCAGATGATCAAGAAAAACTAGTGATTAAGTAGAATTATAAATGCATTTTTTTAATAATCTTTAGTTAAAAGTATATGCAAGTAAAACTCAAATAACATCACCATTCAAAAGAAACTAAAAGATGTGATAACGTTGTAGACCCATGGACCCCCTTTTCACCTTGTTGACCTGAGTAATCATGAAGCTGATGAAGTGAAGCAGTAGAGTTTTCAAAACTTGAAGGAGACTAATTCTAATAATCACGAGACCAGCCCTTTAAACTCAACTACTGGATGCTCACATATATTTGCCAGAAAATGTTGAAAGAGGAGAAGAATACTGTAGCTACATAGCGAGTACAAGCAGATCCCAGTAATCATTTTTTACTTTATTTTACAACTAAGCATTTATAAAGTTGCTTAAAACAGAAACTTAAAACTGACATTAATCAAAATAAGCTAAGCTTACTAAAATCCTTACAGCTGCTGCTGGGCTTGATCAAGCTTTACTTATAAGCTCAACACTTTTCATCCCTTCAAATACATCCACTATTCTTAGGATTCAGTGGAACCAACTGAAAAAATCAAAAGAAATTTCAATCAACAGAAGCAATAGCCATAGTCTACGTTTTGAGCTTTTAAGATATGTGAGTTACGTTGGGGAATTTCCACAAATAGTTGGTGGATACTCTGCTCATCATTAAATTAAAACCTACAACAATACAACAAAAATGGAGAAAACTAAAATACAGAAATATTACCTGGTTAGCAATCATGACCATGTTTCAAGTTTCGATGTTAATTTCTTCTTCATTCTGGTTGATACTTTGCTCATCCTTTTCTATGTATAGCGGTAAACTTTCTTGTATGTTTCGATAACCAAAGCAACTGATCTCGATGGAAGGCTCTGAAGGGAACTCTGCCATTTCATCTTCCTTGCCCATTGTCAATGCCTGCGGAACCAATTAATTGAAGCATATGAAATGAGAATGTAATAATAAGCTTTTTGTGACATTATAGAAAACAACAAGTGGAAGTGAAAAAATGAATAAATAAATAAAGAAAGAAATTAAATTTTTGACCCAACTCCCTTTCTAAGAAGAATTCAAGAAATTTTTGACAAAAATCTTTAATAATGATTGTTACAACAACATAAGGATTTGAAAAGAAGTACATTTGCTTTGGCATGCACAGAATGATCTTGATCCAAGAAAAATCTTGAACTTATCTTGGGACACCCTTTAATGATCAATAAACGATTCAAAGATGGAAATATGAAGTGATAACGGCAGAACTTGGTGAGACTTGGTAATTGGTGGAGTAACAACCGTTCAAGTTGATGCAGCACGAATTCTATGTGATCCACGATATCATCGACATCTTTGTCTCCAAATACTTCTTCCAATTCAGAGTTCTCACGTAAACAAAGATGTTCCAGTTTTTGAAGACCTGGAGCTACCGAGATAGCAAACAAACGTCTTATTTTAGGGCATCTTACAACAACAATTCGCAAGAGATTTTGGAAGAATAGAATTTGATTCTCTTCATCTTCTTCAACAGTGATTTCCTCCAATTCCCCACAATCACAGATGCTCAGAAATTGCAACTGCCACAGATTTTTGGCAAGAGAAGGTGAGAAGATATTTTTCAGGCTATTGCATTGGTATATAAATAAAGTTTTAAGGTTCTCCATGCTTGAAACGAGCGTAGGACTCTTACATAAACCTTCTAATTCTTACAAATATCTCAACTCCAATGTTTTCAAATTGGGGAGTGATAATATTTGTTGTTCTCTGTCTTCCAACTGAAATAACACTTTTACTCCATAATTGTTGATACCTAAATCTTTCAAATTTTTGAAGAAGCCATCTTTCAGCCCAGAGAGAACTGTGTCGTACAACTGATTCCAACTGCCAATCCTTAGACTTTGCAAATTCTGGAGAAAACAAATCACATTAATAAGACAATGAAGGGAATCTTTTATTTTACCATTAAAAGTAATGGAAAATAATAACAATAATAATAATAATAAAGTTATTCTAGATTTACTAAAGGGTTAAGTACAGCGTTCTGGTATTGGCTATCGGACTTAAAACAGGACAAAAGTTCTAAGTAATCTATTAGCTTTAATTCATTGATTCACAAAATAAAATTAAATAAAGTAAAAATATATTATTGAATATTATTAGCTCAAAAAATCTCTTAATTATTAAATTAAGAATCGCCCGTGGTATTACCAAATATGCAAGTCAATGTAAAAAAGGCATTCTAGATAATAATTAAACAACTATGATGTCTTTTTTGTTTATTGATTTTCAAGTTTATACAATATCTACTGTAAGACATTCATTTTAAAGTAAATAATCTGGTCTTAAAATAATTTTATTTAATTAAAAAAAATGTCTATACTAATATTTCTGATAAAGAAACTAATATAAATCAGAGCAAAAAGTTCAAAAAACCAAAGCAAAGGCTTCAAGAAATCTTGATAAACAATTAGAAAAAGATATATACATCTTGTAGATCTCGTACTTTAGATACAACTTCAGTAACGAAGGACATACTCAAATTAGAGCACTTGTCTATTGTGAAATGTTCCAAAGCTGGCCAACTTGAATGAAAATTTTCTGGGCAAAAACTAATGATGCTTGCAAGTCCATCCGGTCTTAGTACTTTCAACTTAGGGAGCTTGATGAGTGCAGTTTCCTTTCCATCTCCGGCAACTACATTTTCTTCACTTCCATTATCCAAATAAAAGACTTTCTTTAACTGAGGGTTTTTTTTTTTTTTAATTTTTTTATTTTTTTTATTATTTTTTTTAAATTTTTTTGTAAAAATATATTCCAATCTCTCACATGAATTTATCTTGACAGATTCTAGTTTTGACAAGAAAGGAGTTTGGATTTGAAGATCATGTTTTGATGATATTTCTTCTCCCTTGTCATTATCACTCTCTTCTATTATGACCAGATGCTCTAAATTTTCACAACCAGCTATTTTGAGTGATTTCAACCGCACCAGACTCCAAACATATGACAAAGTGAAGACATAAGTTAAGCTTTTGCATTCTCTCACTTCAACATCTGTGAGACTTGGGAGGTTTACATGATAAGAGGGCCCATTCCATATACACCTCAGGTGTGGTAATCTTTCAATGCTTAACTTCGCCAAATTTGGGAGCACAACAGCTGCATGATGAGATTTTGATAATATTTCCTCCTCCTTGTAATCATTCATCACCTTCTTTCATTAACAAATGCTTCAAACTCTCACAACCAATAACTTTGAGTGATTTCAGTTGGACCAAACTCTGAGCAACTGACAAAGTGAAGAGATAAATCAAACTTTTGCACTCTCTCACTTGAACAATTGTAAGACTTTTGAAGTTTACAATATGGGTTGGCCATTTCCATATACATCTCAGTTGTGGTAAGTTTGCCAAGTCTAACTTTGCTAAACTTGAAAGCATTGCAAGATTTTCTTCCCTTCTATGACAGAGCCCATCAAGTTGAAATATTTCTTCCAGCTTGTTGCAAGATTGGATTGTCACTTCTTTCAGTTTATATAGTCTCTGTAGCAACATTGCTGGAAATAAGCTACATATACCAGGGCATTCTTCTACATGTATAGCTTCCAAATTTTCAAGAGAACCACTCTGAAGCTTTTCATATGGACCGCAACATATTTCTCTAAGAAGATTTAACTTTCTAAGAGATAATTTCACCAAATTAGAGAACGTAGGGGCTGGAACATGCATCTTTGTTGTATCCATGATGCACTTCACATCCTTACAATCTTCAAGCACAAGAGAAATCAACTTATTTAATCCCCCTTTGTCAATGATTGGGAGGATACTATCACAGCCTGTCACTTCTTTCAGACATAGATATTCTAAGGTATGATACAAAGATTTTAATGAAATCAGTGAGACTGCTTCAATATCTTTCACTGTTAAAGCTCCTTTTCTTGATTCTAATACAGAAAACTCTGAATCAGTGTTCACACTAATGTCATATCTTACCAATTTGTTGAAAATAAAAACCAAGTCTCTCGAAAGACATTTAGCATTTATTTTCAGAAATAGTACAACCAAATTGGATAGAGAATTCAACTCAGAAAGACTAGCATTGCTGCCTTCTACACTCGTCTCTTCTTCTTCCCATTTGTCAAAGGAGTCACCCACATATAATTCTTCTAGCTGAGAAAATCTCTTTATCACATTGGAAATTTCTCTTTAAGTGACGACAATCACTTAAATCAAGCAATCTTAATTCAGTGAGTGCCCCAAGTTCTTTTGGAAATTTGTCAAACAGTGAACTTCTTAAACTAAGAAGTCTGGCAAGATGTTCGAGGGAAGAAATGTCTCTCAAATTGCAAACAATCAGCTCTAGAGTTTTGAGATCTGTCAAGAACTTAAGTGATTTTAATGACAGGTTCACATAAATTAGACTTACATTTTTTAGTACTTTCATCTCTTCAAAAAAATGGTTTGAAACTCCAATGTTGCGGCGTCGCTCATAATACTTTTGACGAGACAATGACAAAGTTTCGAGCTTTGGACACACCAACTGATCAGGAGCATGTTTATTTTGTTGTCCATTAAGGAGATTGCAGTATATTGTCCAAGGTGCCTTCCCTGCTTTGGCCACTCAGTCAATCCCAAGCTAGCTTTAACAAGAAATACATTATCTCCTCTGGATGCTATTCCCAAGGCAACATCACGAACCACATCATGCATTTTTACAAATCCCTCTTCACTAGCATCTGTCAACAAACAAGAAGCTTTGAGCTTATTAACCATTACTTGCAGTTGACTCCTCGCTTGTTCAATTGAGTCTACATCTGGAAAAACACCTAGCCTCATTCCATATCTAACCAATTCTTCCAAAGGAATTTTATAATCTTCAGGAAACAACGAACACAACAAAAAACATAACTTGGTTTCTTTACCCTCCAAATAATCAAAGCTGATCTTGAGAATAGCATATACATCCTCATCAACATCAATGTCCTTACATATATCCACAAGTTTTGACTTTTTTAACTTCTCAAACACAAGTGTCCATTCATCAATGCCCTTTTCTTTTAAAGCACTCCCCATAGTTACAATTGCTAATGGCAATCCCTTGCATTCTTTAGCAACTTTGACTGCTAGATCATTCAATGGATGGGATTCATCATCAAGTATACTTGCATGCTTTTTAAGTAAAGTCAATCCTTCATCTTCATCTAGTTCATTCAGAAGAATTCCTGCCTAACACCTCATACCAATACATACGTTTTGTCTGCGACTTGTCAGAAGGATTTTGCAACCTTTGAGATCATCGCCAAAAGGAATTCCTATCTTAGATTTCAAGTCAAATTTTTTCCAAACATCATCTAAGATTATGAGGATCTTCTTTTTAGTCTCCACAAATCTCAAATGCAAAAGCTTTGCTCTTCCTTCTTCACCTTCCTCCTCCAATTTCATACCTAATGAGTCTGCAACGTCACCTTGAATATTTTTGAAGTTTGGAGCTTGGGATACAACAATGACCACAACCTCATCAAAAATTTCCTCTTCTTTGACTTTCTTACCCACTGCTTTTGCTAAAGTTGTCTTACCTACTCCACCCATGCCATACAGGCCAACCACATGAGTTTTATCATTTTTTAGTGCCTCAATAATCTGATGAAAAACAAGTTCCACAGACTTGAAGAGATGAAAATCTTTAGGGGCTGAAAATTCTATCCCTGGTAATGTGGCAAGATGGGAAACTTTGTCGAATTTGCCACTTTCCCGTTTATTGAACATAATATGTCTCTTATGTTCTGCTTTCCTACTCAACCGATATCGCAAACCCCAATTAAGACACCGCCCACCATGACTTTTTTGATTTCCTTCTATTTCTTCTTTTAACTTCTGAACATCTTTGACGACTTCGTCCACATCTTTTAACCACTTTTGCACCTCTTTCTCAATCACCTCAGTATTTCTTGTCGCATTTTCAACATCTTGTTGCACACGGTCACGTGCACAGTCCAAATGGCCATATCTTCTAAAAAATCTTTGACAATGCTCTTGAAACAAAAAATAACGAACGAGACGTTTGATTACTTCAACAGTTTTCTTCAACCTCCGATACAATGGGTTCCACAAAGTGCTGCTGTTTCCATCCTGTATGATATCAGAAATTGATTATTAGTATGATATCAAACAAAAAAACTATTGAAAGGGTGAATGAGAATTTGCAACACCTTTCTCTTTAGGTAATTGTGAAATGACAAGACTTTGAATGAAAACCAATGAGGCACAAGCTCCCAGCTTGTCCTAGCCTTAGCTGCAAGAAGTAAAGAAAGGAAACAAGATCAGAATAATGTTGTAGAAGAAAAAAAAAAACGCGGATGTGAATAAGATTCCTTATGAGAAGCAATATATTGTTAAGTGTTATAACTGGGTACTAGACTAATAGTTGTCAGTGTCGTGGCTATTAGGTTAATTTAAATTATTAAGAAATATGTGTTCAACTGTCATAAATATTTTCTTTTAATATTTGTAACTGATCTTTCCTCAATTATAATTAAATTATATAAAGCGACAACATAAATAGAGATTAATTATGGGTTCAGAAGTTCAAGTTAAATATTAATTATTTTCTATCAACAGATTCAACACTATTTGATTGTAATTAATATACGACTCACAATTAGCATTAAAATTTAAGTTAAAATATCCTTGCCTTTTAATTTAATCTCATGTGTGAACCTAAAAGAACAAAGACTGGAAGGTGGTCTTTCGTAAATTAAAGGTGGAAAACAATGTTCAGTTTTAATTTGCTTGTTTTTTATTAGTCCGCATTTGAGAATTTTCATATATTTTAGAAAACTTTTCTTAATGAGGTCTGTTGGTTATAAAAAAATGTAGTATACAGAAAATTATTTATCTTATTTCTTTCTAAGAATAAAATTAAAAATAACCAAATTGTTTTGATGACTAGAATAAAATAGAAAATAAATTGATTTGAGAGATCTTAGTTGAAAGATTTCCAAAAATTGGATATTTTTTATGTTCAGCCCTTAAAATTAATTATGAATTTTTTTTAATTAGTTATTAATGAAGGTAATTTGTTTCATATTATAATGTAAAAGCTATGTGTATTTGATAGTAATATAAGGGTGAATTAGTAATTTAATTTGGATCTTTATTATCATTATTTTCATATTCAAATTTAAGTAACAATAATAGAGAATGTAAATATAAGATTACAGTTATAATAATAAAATTCTGTTTCACTATTCTATCCTATCTTATTTCTATCATACCCAAAATACATATTTGTTTCAATATTCTCAAAATCCAATCATTTTCTATTCAACTCAAAATATTTAGATTTTTTGATCCTCTAGATTTATTAATTTAACCAGACAAAAACACCCCCACCCACCCACATATTCTTAGCAGCGGGCCACCACTGCTGAAAGGTGGTCGGAATCTGCCAGAATGGCATACAACCAACTGTATGTGGCTGTCATGCATCGATCTAGCCTTTTCCAGCCAGATTGGCACACAACCGGCTAGATTTGGTCATCCTTTGGCAATAGTGGCTGGCTGCCAACATTTAATGAGTGTGTGATGGTGTTTTTGTTAATTTTTAGTGTTTTATTGTAAGAGGTGTTTAGCTAAATTAATAAATATAAGGGTGTTTTTGCCCATTTTCAAATCATATTCTCGTAATAACAACCGAACTCAACTGTTTCAAAAATATTACTCAAAATACTGTACCAAACACACCCTAATGAATGATATATGTAAATAATGTGATATTTTTTAAAATTCAAAATTTCAAAGTCTATTTTTTTTTTTTTTTATATTCATTAGAAAAATTGCAAAATGCATTATTTAAGATTACAGTTAATATATAAATCTTATAGATTAAAGAGATTTTTTTTTTTTAAATAAGGGCTTTCGTAATAATTAATTTAATAAGAAAGAAATAATAGTAATGACAACAACTTTAGATTTAACATATTGTAAATAATTAAAAGATTGCCAAAGAATTTGGAGGACAAAATGGTATGCGAAAGTGATAAGTATATATAGTAAATCTGAAGAAAAATACAATAATAAATACTCATTAGATTAAATTAAATCTTTTAATTCATGTGTAAATAATATTTTATAATACCAAATTAATTTTTTTTTCTTTCTCAAGTTTTTGGGTAAATAAAAAAAATAGTAAATAGACAATATTCATATAAGATGTGATCAACATTTTGTATTTATTATTATATATTTGTAAAGCAATGGGTCTCCTTTTCCATAGAAATATCGGACAAAATGATGTGATTGAAGAATTGATTATTAGAATCTATACCTAAAGCGAATGAAATAGAAAATAAAAGAAAAAATGTTGCTTACTTTCTTGAGTAAAGAGATGGCTTCAATAACTTCTTGTAACTTCACTATATAAATATTGCCACAAAATTCTCAAACAAGCTGCAAATGATAGACAACAAACTAGCTAATCAAAATTATGAATAAAGAATCTCAATCGGCTATTGAGATGTTAGCCCAAATAAGTGTTTATATATCTTATCTCATCCTTAATCTTTTAATTTGCCTTTTCTTTCTTAGAAATATAAGTTAAATATTTGAAAGTAGAATAATTAACATATCTAGCTTAGCAAAAACCAGAAGACAAATAGTAATAAAAGTAAATAACAGAGTTCATAAATCTTAAGAAATCATACCTAAATATTGGAAGGTTGTAACCTAGAAAAAGGCACCTCACTTTGAGACTTGAAACTTTTGTTACCTGCTACGAGCATGAAGACGAGTGAACATACACATTAATGACACATAAGAACATTTAAAGAAATATTCAATATACAATTCTTGGTAATAATGAAAGAATAANTTCGTAATAATTAATTTAATAAGAAAGAAATAATAGTAATGACAATAACTTTAGATTTAACATATTGTAAATAATTAAAAGATTGCCAAAGAATTTGGAGGACAAAATGGTATGCGAAAGTGATAAGTATATATAGTAAATCTGAAGAAAAATACAATAATAAATACTCATTAGATTAAATTAAATCTTTTAATTCATGTGTAAATAATATTTTATAAAACCAAATTAATTTTTTTTTCTTTCTCAAGTTTTTGGGTAAATAAAAAAAATAGTAAATAGACAATATTCATATAAGATGTGATCAAAATTTTGTATTTATTATTATATATTTGTAAAGCAATGGGTCTCCTTTTCTATAGAAATATCGGACAAAATGATGTGATTGAAGAATTGATTATTAGAATCTATACCTAAAGCGAATGAAATAGAAAAGAAAAGAAAAAATGTTGCTTACTTTCTTGAGTAGAGAGATGGCTTCAATAACTTCTTGTAACTTCACTATATAAATATTGCCACAAAATTCTCAAACAAGCTGCAAATGATAGACAACAAACTAGCTAATCAAAATTATGAATAAAGAATCTCAATCGGCTATTGGGGTGTTAGCCCAAACAAGTGTTTATATATCTTATCTCATCCTTAATCTTTTAATTTTCCTTTTCTTTCTTAGAAATATAAGTTAAATATTTGAAAGTAGAATAATTAACATATCTAGCTTAGCAAAAACTAGAAGATAAATAGTAATTAAAGTAAATAACATAGTTCATAAATCTTAAGAAATCATACCTAAATATTGGAAGGTTGTAACCTAGAAAAAGGCACCTCACTTTGAGACTTGAAACTTTTGTTACCTGCTACGAGCATGAAGACGAGTGAACATACACATTAATGACACATAGGAACATTTAAAGAAATATTCAATATACAATTCTTGGTAATAATGAAAGAATAATATGTATATATTCTTCTATAATGAATTATTTGTATTTATATGTCAATAGTACAATGGGGATAAAAATTGTATTTATAAAGACCATCACTAATCCTTACAAAATAGGATGAATATGCTATATATCTTGAAAACTCACCTCAGCAATAGATACCAATGTTCATATATTTGCAAAATCCCTATCACTTACAAGCCTGAGAATGTGAGCTCACAATTTGCAAAGCGTAGCTTCATAACCAACTAAAAAGACACATTTTAGTCCAAACTCTGATATAACCAACTAAAAAGACACATTTTAGTCCAAACTCTGATAGATCAACATTACAAATTCTTATCCTTTAACTAATTTGTACATTGGAATTGGTACAACTAGAACATTGTAATTGTGGCATGTCCTTGATCTTTAAAAGTTTAATTTCTTGGTGCATTTGCTTCAATTATTGGTTCATAGGTGGGTTTAAAAGCATGGCCCTGTTCAATTTTATATGAATGGTACACATGTTGGGATAAGATTTCTAATCACTGAGTGATATACAGCTGCTAAGCTCCATTAAAAAAACATAACTAAAGAATCAATTATTATTAAAATATTATGGAAAAGCATAAAAGTTAATTTTCATACCTTTGTGTATAAGCAGAGTACATCCAGTATGAAGCTGCCGATGAGAACTCCACTTCACTATCCCTTACACATACAATTTCAAGTGAAATATACCTCACACACAATCAAAACTAACAACACCCAACTGATTTACTTTTCCCTACCTTCAATTTTATTAGATAGCCTAATAAACGAAATCACTGAAATTATTGAAATAAATCAAAAATCGATAAAATATGAGGTTGATAAAGGTAAAATCAGAAAGATAAACATTAGCAAAAGTAAGTATTCTAGTGAGTAATCAATTTTCCAGATGATGTTCAAAGATTATTGAGTAATCATATTGAAACATGAAAATTAACTTCAGATCGTTAGATATTTGCAAAATCTCTTATCTATTTGTTTTGACGATGACGAGTAAAATGGAAAATTAATTGATATAAGGTATACTTGAAAGATCTCCAAAAATTTGATTTTTTTTTTCAGCCCTTAAAGGAGTGGTAAAAGAAGTTGTTTTCGCTGTAGTAAACAAATGTCATAAGAGAGCTAATTCTAAAGCAAATGTCACAATTTAATCTTAACTTCACATATTAGGAATTATGTAAATTAACATTTGAAAGCATTAAAATATCATAAGAGAGTTCAATGTGTGAAGCAATACCTTGTCTTGAAGAAGCAAGAACTAGACTTGCAAAATAATGAACTACCTAATTGATTTGAAGATTAAAAAAGGGTTAGATTTTGTATTGACAGATATGCCCAAAAAATAAATTTAATGATTTTTTTTAAAACTGATTTTTAATCCAAAAATCTTACTAATTTTACACCAAATCACTATAGTAACACTTAATTATATAGTAATGTTTATCTAAAACAAATGAAATAGAAAAGAAAAGAAAAACGTTGCTTACTTTGAATACTTTCTCGAGTAAAGAGATGGCTTCAGTAATTCTTAGAACTTCACTAGATAAATATCGCCACACAATCTAAAACAAGCTGCAAACGATAAACAACAAACTATCTGATCAAAACTTTATGAATAATGAATCTTAATCGGCCATTGAGGTGTTAGCAGAAACAAGTGTTTATATATCTTATCATGTACTTAATCTTTTAGGTTTCCCTTTTTCCTTTTTTTCTCTCAGAAATGTAAATTAAAATAATTGAAAGTGAAGGAATGATTAACATATTTAGTCTACCACAAATCAAAAGACAAAATTCTCGAAGCTTATGCTATTCAAGTGGTAATTATTTTATTCTATATTTTTGGAAGTGGTAGACAATAAGTAAGCATTCTAAAATATGATGATGATATATATCTTGAAAGCTCACCTCAGCAGTAGACATTGATATTCAGATATTTGCGAGAACTCTATCACTTCCGAGCTTGAGAAGGTGTGGTCATAGTTTGCAAAGCCTAGCTTCATTATGAAGCAAAGGAAGTGAGAACACACATTTTAATTCAAACTCTGATAGATCAACATTACAATTTCTTATCCTTTCATTAATTTGAATATTTGAGTTGGTATAACTAGAGCATTATAATTGGTACACTTAATTCTATTATTGGTTTCAAAGGTGGTTTTAAAGTATGGCCTGTTTTTTAAGCAATCTTTTTATATGTTGAGATGAGATGCTAAACTCCATTAAAACAACATAATTAAAGAATAAATTATTGTTAAGATATATTTAAAAACATTAAAGTTAGTATTCATACCTATACCTGGTGTTTAAGCAAAATATAATACATCTATGGAAAGCTACTGATGAGAATTCCATTTGACTACCCCTTAAAAGATATGTATTTCAAATCCCCAAACAATGTCAAATTCAATAATAACATCATCATTTCGAAATACTTTATCGTGCCTTTCATTTTTTATTTGTTTGGTTAGGGATGCGAATTAAATGAAATTATAGAAAGAAATCAAAATCCGGTAAAATATGAAGTTGATAAGGGCAAAATTAGAATATAAACAGTAGCAAAAGATAGTATTTTGACAGATAATTAATCAAATTTTCTAGATGACGTCCAAAGATTCACAAGCACAAGCTCCCATTATTAAGTGAAAATCAAATTCTAATGAAATAAAAAAATTATAAAAAAACCTATTTATAGGGTGATCCATATATATAAAAAAACCTATTTATCTTTGCAGAATAAAAAAATAAAATTTTAATTTCAAATTTCAAATTTCATTTAATTCTCTCTCTCATATCATTAAGTAAAAATCAAATCCCAATGACATATTTTCAAAACATTGGGTTTGTTACCAATATTTTAATTTAATTATATATTAAGAGTTATTATAAAGTTGACTTACACCAACAATTATAATGAAGATATTTGTGATAAAAATTCAATTTCAAATAAAGTCTATTTTTCATTACTGAAAAAGCAGTTGCTATGAGATGCATAGTTCGTGGTGATTAGCCATGGTTTCTTTAATATTCTTTTTTAAAGAATTAAATTTTTTACTTTAATGTAATTGTCATTTCAAATACATCTAATTGTCATTTCAAATCAATTGTAGGACATAGAATTTAAAATAAGATATTATAAGATTAATTTTAGTGTGCACTTAAAAGTTAATTGCCCGGACTTGAAATTTAAAACAATATATTATATGATTTTATTGTACAGACTTAAAGTTAATACGGTCAGGTCTATACAATAAATTCAAAAGTTAATGTTTATAGAATCAAAGTTTTTACTTTAATCTAACTGTCATTTCAATCGTCAATACTTAGAATTTAAAATGAAATATTATATGCTTTTAGTGTCATGACTCCAAACTTAAAAGGGTGATATAGATAAAACAAAAATTAATGTTAAATTTGACTCATACCAACAATTATAAATTTAATTATAATTGACAAAACAATGCTTCTCAAATAAACACTTTAGTCAATATCTAAACTATTGTAATTGGCTAAACATCCAAGCTAACTCAACACAATTTGTACCTTCGTATGAAAACGTGTTGCAAACGGTTCTTACACTTGCAATAAGGATTACACTTCAACTTTGGGTGATAAAGGTCAAACAGTTCTTACACTTGCAATAAGGATTATTTATCTGATTTCTTTTTAAGAATAAAATTAAAAATAACCCAATTGTTTTGATGACTAGAATAAAATTAGAAAATAAATTGATTTGAGAGATTGTACTTGAAAGATTTCCAATAATTGGATATTTTTTACGTTCAGCCCTTAAAATTAATAATAAAAACTTTTTTAATTAATTATTAGTGAAGGTAATTTGTTTCATAATATAATGTAAAAGCTATGTGAATTTGATAGTAATATAAGGGTGAATTAGTAATTTAATTTGGATCTTTATTATCATTACTTTCATATTCAAAATTAGGTAACAATTTTTAACTTCTTTTAATTCAGAAAAAACAAATAACCTAAATACCGAAATTGTTTAGACATAAGTAATAAGTGGTGAAAACAAATACATTTATTAATATATGTTGAGCTAATACCCTTTTATTGTTAAAACTAACGTCTGAAAGTCTGATGGGTGAGACAATATAGTTTTAAAAGTTTATGAGTGCAAAAATAATTATGGTGAACTTTGGGTGGAAAAATGCCACTAACTCAGAAAGCATGCTATTCCAATTCCAATCAAACACGTTTGCTCAGAAGTAAGTGGAATTGGAATATCAAATCCCATAAATCTGTATGATAGAAGTATGATAGTTTTGATAACCATGCAAAAATTTAATATTTATCGATCAGTTAAGGTATAAAGTCAAATTTTAACATTTTCACACAAATTTTAACAATTCCTTCCAATTAATTCATCAGTTAAGGTATAAAGTCAAAAATTAACATTTTACGTAGTCAACTAACATACACCTTCGGACTTAAAAAAAAAAATAACATTAAGAAATTTGTATTAATGTTAAGAATAATATTTGAAAATATATTATATTATGGCATTAAAATATCATAAGAGAGTTCAATGTGTGAAGCAGTACCTTAAGGAGACAATTTGACGTCAAAAGTATTATCTTGAAGAAGCAAGAGTTTGACTTCAAAAATAATGAACTACCTAAATGATCTGAACAATAAAAGAAGAGTTAGATTTTGTATTGACAGAGATCCCCCCAACAAATTAATGATAAAAGTTGTTTAAAAAAAAAAGAAAACATATGAAAATAACAGTCAACGTCTCTCTCCTCCTTTTGCAGTTAAAATATGAATTTTTGCCCGATGAAAATTACTTGGATATGTAGATCGACTACACANACAATAATTTAATTTAACTATTAATATTTTAATTTAATAATTATTAAATAAAAATAATTAAAATTTTAATAAATTATTTTAGGGTTAAATAGAAAAAAATATTTGAAACAAGGGGAAAGTGGGTATTTTTCGCGCAACGAAACTAAATGTTCCTGGAATGGACATCCTTTCCAATCATTATATATATATATATAACCCGAAACCGATCTAAAAAACCAAACTCCTTTCAGTTTCCAAAAAATGACTAAACTGATTTTTCGGTTTAGTTAATGGTTCAAGGGTATTTTCAAACCGATTTTGCCTAAAAGTGCCTAAACTTTGGATCACACAAAATTGAGTTGCTATAGAGATAAATGAGAATGTGCAACTTGTAAAATAGTCCAACTTCAGAGTAAATAGGAAATTAAGAAAGCATTATTTTCCAGTTCCTCTCAAACACGTTTGCTCTGCTTTTGTAAGTGGAATTAATGACCCACCATGTATGTAGAGAATTGACTTATCAAATCAAAAGAAAAGATTAAAGGTGTCTTTTGAGTGTCACTTTCCTTCTGTGTATAAGCTAGATAATTGCAGATAAAAGGTGTAAGTGAGCTAAGTCAAGTTGAGCTTTGAACTAATCAAGCTTAGCTTGATTGCTACAGTATTGAGCTCAAGCTCAACGTTGAAAATTCGAGTTTGAGCTTGAGCTTAATCAAGCTCAAGCTGCTAAAAAAAAAAAAAAAAACCTCTTCGATTCTCCACATTTTTACTTTCCCAATTGAGCTTCAAGCTCGAGCTTTTTTAAGCCTAGTTCTGGCGAGCTTGAACTCAGCTCATGAAAACTCAAGCCGAGTTGACACCCCTAACTGCAAAGATAAGTTACAATAAAGAAAAAAGATCGGAAAAGCTTTTTTTATTTTTATTTTAATTGATAGATTTATGTTAAATTATATTTTTTAGTGAGCTTTTTTCCATCCTTTTGAGGAGAATGACCCACCATGCTCACCACAACTCTACCATGCTCACCACAACCTTGTTTAATATATAACATGACAAAAATTTAATGCCTTTTCCACTTTTAAGATAATTAGATATTTGTAAAATCTCTTCACCTTCTTCAGTAATAGAATATATCATCAATCAGTCTTGCAAGTAAATGATAACAAATGAAGCAGTTAAAAGTAGAAAATAATCTTGTCCAAATTAAAGTAAATTATTATATCAAAGTTTAAAGATCATAAATCGATGTTTTTCCTTGGAAATGAAACTCGCCTCATAACTTTAGATCCTCACTGAGTCTCTATCATATTATATTCATAATAAGTCCAACTTCAAGATAAATGTGCCTTGAAAGTTGGTCCTGCCTTTCTAAGTGGAAACATGATCCACCAAGTCTGCAAAGACTTCAGTATTAAATTATAAAGTCCGAATTACAGTTTTTCACCTTTTCTTTTCTTAAATTATTCTCACCCCTCGTTTCAAAACTTCTGCCTTAGTTTGAGAAAATATCAAATTTAACCTTTTTTTTTTTTTTTTAAGTCTCCATTTATGATTGACCGACTTTGACCACTGAAATACTTATTTTATCCTCATTAAAAATTATCATATTAATTTATGGTTAGCCTATTCCCTATTGTAACACAAATTATTGATTTAAAATGAGACATAAACCAACCACCCTTCGTCTAAATCTAATCTAATGGTTCATATAAATTTGAGAAAAAAAAAGTTTACCCATAACTTACACTCAATTGTTTCACCACTCTTACAAATTGATTGCTATTTTGGTAAACAAAGAGAAACTCTTCAATCATTGTAACCCGTACACGCAATAGTGATTTGAATTAAACAAAAACACCATGAAAAACTCTTGATAATGAAAAACCAAAAACAAAATCGCAAGCTATAAAAGCACCCCAAGAAATTCTTTTTTTTTTTTTTTTTTAGGTATGGTAATTGGTCACCTGGTACAACTCAAACTCAACATCAAGACGTTTTCAACCAAACGCCCCTCTATCCATCGAGCCACAAATGGGTGGTTCACCCCAAGAAATTCCTCAATCATTAATCTTACCTAAAAACCTAAGTAATTTCTTCCAAAATTCTCATTAAACTTTTCATATTATGTTGAATGAATGAAGAAAAATTCTTCTTTTACAATACTACATCAATAAACCCAGTTTTTGCGCATAACAAATAACTTAATTCTCAATTACGCAATAAAAATATCAATGTCTATGATGAATCCATGTTATTTCTCTTTCAAAAAACAAGTTCAATACTTTTTTGAAATCTCTTTGAAAGATAACTAGTTTTCTTGAAGTTGTGGGAATATCAATAACTAGTTTTCTTGAAGTTGTGGGAATATCAACATATCAGCCAAAAATACAAAATTATTTGCTCTTGGGAGGGTTTTTTTCTTTGGATTTAATTTGCTCTTCAAGATTATTATTATTTTATTTTATTTTATTTTTTTGGGATTTTGTTGTTGAATGGAAGAAAAATAGTTGATTTCCTTTAAGATTTTTGAAAAAATCTAGTGTGAGTTATGTGTAAACTGGTTATGCTCAAATTCACAAATCCTTTAGATTAGATTTAGATGTTTCTTTCCTCATTTTGTCCTTTTGTTTGCCCTCTATTTGAAACTCTGAAAATGGTTCTTATTCAATATTATTACTGGGTCAGTTTTTTTGTAATTGGTCAAATAATACCAATCAAGGTTAATATTTGTCAAATTATTATGTTGCTACAGAAGTCTTTTACCTAATTAATCACCTATTTAATGGTTTTATTAAAAATATATCTACTATAGTCATATGAATGAATGATACATTAATTGCTATCGGCTAGAAGACTTTTTGTCAATTTTATCATAATAATTGGAAAAAATAAGGAGCCCAATAAACCCCCATTCAGAAAAATGGAAGCAATTAATTCCTCAACATTGAGAAGTATCTATAAGAGCCGTAACTCAAAGCATTACTCCGTATTCTTGCATATAACAGGTATTAACTTTTGATTTTGTAACTTCCAGCTATAAATCATACAGCACTAATATTTCTGCAAATTCCAAAGGTAACAGAAAACGTTTATTAGTTCTTCAGCAAGCCAGTGATTCTGATGTCAAAGATTTCACTGAAACAAAATGGGTCGGTTTACGACGGTTTCTCAAATGCTTACTGTTATCTAATTCCTGAAAATTAGCATGGCCCGTTGCTTGAGCATGCTCCACAGCCTCCTGTACAATTATGTAAAAGAAGCTCATCAGTAACAGCATAAGAATTTGTGAAATCTGATGAGAAGAAAGAACTAAGAACATGGAGAAAACTGGCATGGCACATTCACATGTACCATGGATTTTTTCAGCTTTATTATGTAATTTTACTATCTTAAGGTCAACACAGTTAGCATAGAAAAAATACCTTCTGGCCAATGACGCCAATTTGGCTACTCCACAACGCAAAGTGAGTTGGCAGTGTCCGTGTAACTCCTTTTCCTGAGCAACACATGTATTAGGTGATGTAACAATGAGAGTAAACTGCTTCAATGCTTAAATACCATAGAAATAATAAAATGAAACAAAAGATTTCTAACATCTGGAAATCTATCTCACAACAGACAGCTATAAACCACAATGCATAATAACATTTGAACTAATATGGAAAACAGTGTTGTGCAGTCACATTTCGTTTTGAGATATGAAACATTTAAAAATTTTAAAGAATTGATCATTAAAGTAGGACTTGTATAGATCCTTAAATACTACCTTTGTTGCTCCTTAACAAAATTATGAGCAAGTCCCTCAGCTGGCCCAATGGTCCTGTCCTTCCGCACAGCAAATATAGTCTGATCAAACTCCTCCGGAGCTCCCTCAAATGGAGACATCTATTGATACACCATATCTCAGTCAAGCACACGAGTGAATAGATAAAACATTAAGACTAGCACCAACAAATTCTTAAACAAATGGTGGCAGCAAATATGCAAACTAGTCCTCTCTTGCAAATCCTTTTGGCGGTACATGCAAATATGTAATATAACATATGGTTAAAATAGGGGTTGGGGGAAGTAACTTAAGCAAGAGAAGTCACCACCACCACTACAAATTTCGAACACGTATTTATAAATGCAAGTTTTAGTTATGACATTTTTCAACTTTTAGGCCACCAGCCCACATATCTAGCTACATCCATAAACTGATTGATTCTCCTTGACCAGGAGTTCTTACATGCATTGATTGGAGATGTCAGGCTTTCTATATATAAGCTATAATAATACATTACTTGACCATATCATCAATTAAAAAACATGAAGGAAAAATAAAATTTTATTTGAAGGAATGGGTCATAAGGTTCCATACAGCTAAAGCATCATAATGAAGCCCGTCATAGATCAGCATAACTCTTTCAGAATACTTCTTTTCCTGTCAAATAGAACATAAGAAGGGAAAAAAAGGGAAGAGAAATTTAGTAATGCAAATTTGCTGGAATCCGAAGAAAACAGATGCGAATATTTGTAACCTGGCCATATAAATCACATCTAGTGGTCTGAATATCATATGCTGCAATTTCACGTCCATAATAATCCGCTAATATGGAGAGTTCAATGGCACCTTCAGAGTAGAACACAAATAACCACGTCAGTACAACTAATCAACAAGTGACGAAAATAACATACAAGCGTGATTGTGACACAAAACACACAGTGGGCCAAACAAATTCACTGAAATGAAGTGCATATGCAATCTATTGAAACTTCCTTTTGAGCAAAGAAACCACCGGACCTAATTTTAGAATAAATTGAGAACTGCAGAGAATATAGGAAATTCATATAAAGCAACCCAAAATGTCACTTCAGGTTGTCTATCATGATAAGAGAATAAAGATAACATTTTCAATTATCAGCTGAGCCAACTGCAAAATAAGTACAAAAGGTCATCGCCTAAACCAACCACACAAGCACATATACATGCAGGACATTGCCATGGTGTAAACACGAAAGTCACTCTCTTTACCCAAGTGTAAGAACTATGGCAAAGCTAGATGCTTCCCATATATGAAGCTAAACAAGAAACGCTAGCAATTCTGAGATGATTCATTAATGGCATATGTAATAATATAGACCCATCTTCTTTCAACTGTCTAATGACCATCAAAACATGCCCTAAGAAAAGAAGTTCAACAAACCTCCCCACTTCTCTGAGTCCTGAATCCAGGAAAAATACTCTTCGTTTGGCTTTCCAAGAAAAGCTTCGGAATATTTTACAGGATCACTTGCCACAGTTGCCGCTATAACCTTCAAAAGTTCATAAATCACAGTGTTCAGAAAATCAAATAGAAAAGGAAATAGAATATGTCAATTATATCACTCATTCATAGGTCTGTTCAGTAACGTTTGTAGAATTTGTTTTCAAAATAATAATTAAAATGAAAGACCGACAGACAAATAAAAGCACTTTGCATAACTTCTATGCATCATTAATCTCACATGACACAAATAGCGCATATATTAGATGTATCAAGCTAAATAGATATTCAACCACATAAAATTTGAACATTTATATTTAACTGCAATAAACTCATCCCACCAATTCTCAAAACTGCACATAAGCTTGAAGATCCCCCATAAACCATAGCAAACACATGAACAGAAATCGAATTATGTTTAAGATCTTTAACTACACATGTTTAGCAGCAAAGATAAGATGTAACAGATAAGAACCTGTCTCAATTCTGGAGCTTTATTTTTGTCATGGTCCATAACATATCTGTAAATAGTAAATAGAGAAACAAAAGAGCAATGAAAAAACAGAAACAAAAACTCATTTCATTATAACTAACAATAATTTTATAGTTTAGTCTTTACCCAACAGCATTAAAAAGGCAACTGTTGTCCGAGGGAATCACCCTTCTAACTATAATCCCGTCCATCTTACAAGGATATATGCACCTGAAAACAATCAGAAATTAATCATTATATGCTTCAAGATTCTAAGCAACAGCATAAACAAAGGAAACAAGAAACCAATGGCATGAAGCAATAACCTGAAAAACACCCTTTAATTATATAAAAAGGATAACCAAATAAACACATAAAAAACCTCAAATTTCACAACTTCTGTAACCTCAGAATAGAACCATAGTAACATAGAATATATAAAAGAAGATCAAAAACTAAACAGAAGAACTTGCTAATTAAAACCCGCCAAGAATATACGAAAACTCTCCTTCGTGAACACACATAAAACAAAATAATAATAAAAAAGAATCCAATCTTGACAAAATAAAATAATTCAATCTTGAAACAAAATTAAAAATTAAAAATAAAAAAATCTTTAAACAAAGTAAAAGCTAAAAATTAAAATTTGAACCAACCCACCTTAGAAAAACAATCCAGAAAGCAAACGGGGACAGAATATAAGCAATCAAAACTCAAAAGGGGAATCCAAAAATAAAAAGAGCATATATACTAACAAAAAGAAGTACCGAATGAAATGTTTAGATCTGAAATGGAATAAAAGAATGTAACTTTGCAGTAAAGAAATGGAGAAGATAAGAATAACAGGAAACACAATGGACCCACAAACAAGAGCTAATTATATAAACCCAAGATTTTTTTCATGGGATTTTTTGTTTTTTTTATTTTGGTTTAGCTAAAATAAGTAACTGTTAAGGAAGGTGTGATAAAAGAGATTAATTATGATAAAAATATACGAAAGCTAAGGAGCAGTTGGTTACCAAGATATCTTGTAGAGAATTTTTTTTTTTTTTTTCTTTTAAATAAACATGTGCTGGACAAGTTCTCCCTAAGTCTTAATTATGTTTAATTTATAATTTAGAAAGATTTAGTTTAATTAAATATTTGAGATTTTTTCCTCAAAAAATCCTTTATAGTGAATTTAACATTACCCGGTTAAAGTTTGACCAAAGATTAATATAAGATTTTCAATTCATATATCACAATTTATGTGTCAAGCTTTTAAGATTGTGGTACTTTTTTTTTTTTTTTTAAATGATGCACGGTACCTGGACCAATTTATATCACTTTAATTAATATCTTGAAAAATTATAAGAGTGAATACATAGTCCTTACTATCCTACAATACGATACATACCTTACGATCTCTGTTTTAAATCTCAGACCAGACCATCTGATCAGACCGATTTGACTGGGAGCCAACCTTTACTCTGATCCGGATTAATATAAAAATCAAGAATGTCATTAGAACCCGCTTTAGATCGACAAAATAGTACAAACCGTCGGTTTGACTAGTCCGAGGCTTAAAACGTTTTGTAATTTTTGGGTATCTGATCCTAAAAATTTTATATTTTTAATTCCTAAACTAATTTGCAACACCGTTTCATTCTCTCTTTCATTTGAATAAAAAAAACTAAATTGTATCTTCTATTTTTCTTCAGTTATTCTAAAATCTACTGAAGGAGAAGAAGTAAGGGGAGGGGAAGGAAGAAGAAAGAGAAGAGGAGACAAAGAAAGAGTAAGAAAGAAGATTAGAAGAAAGAAAAGAGGAGACGAAGAGAGAAGGAAGAAGAAAGGAGTAGAGAAATTATACAGCGAGACGCGAATGTGTTAGAAGAAAGTGACTGGGGAGTGATGGGGAGAGAGAGAAAAAAAAATAATTAATAATAAAATCTATAAGATGCATTATTTTATTTTAAACTTATAGGGGTTTATTTGTAATTTTTAGAAATACATTTGCTGGTTTTTAAACTTATAATAATTAATGGAATTATTTAAAGATGTGACTGCTATATACTGGTCAGACCGACCCACGAACTGGCTCTTGACCTGGTCAACGAATGGTTCGATTTTTAAAACAATGCTTACGATATGATTCGATAAGGATTGCCAACGATACGTATTAAAGAGTATATCCTAAACTTTTGATACGTTAACATGTATCCTACAATACGATATGTATCATTCGTATCCTTAAAAATATCAATACAAGTCGATACGGTTTTATTAATTTGGGCTGAAGGCCCATAATATTTTTCGAGTCAAATTTGGGTTACCCAGCCCAATAATAATAACACTAGTAGAGATACAGTTATTGACATTGATATTGAAAATGATATGAATGTTGAGAGAAAATGATATAGATTCTTAATTTTGTGATTAATTTTGGTTATGTAATGCCATAATTTAAAACCAATAATACTATAACATTCGTTAATTAATCATAGGGATAATATTAATTTTTAGAAAATTTTTATTATTTTATTAATTTTTTTGAAAAATGTGTATCCTATAATACGATACACAATTCAAAAAATTAGATTTTTTATTAATAATATGATACGCAATTTGACAATCATAATGACTACCCTTATTAATAACCGAAAAGAAACTCGAACTCAATACTTATTGAATAATACAACTAAGAGTCTCTCTCAAAACATTCAAAACACTCAACCATTTTCTAGTTAAGATTGTCATATCTTGAGACTTCTAAATTAATGTTAGAATTCTTTATATTATTCAAAAACAATTTTCCATGCTTTAATATTTTTCTTATTTCTTTATTTTTTTTTTTAATTATGTAGTATTTTCATTTTATTTGCAATTCTCAAGCAACCTAATATACATATACTTATATTGCTAAACCAAATAAATAACTGAAAATAGCAGCTGGGCAATGCATTTTCAAAGTGAATGTTCACATGCTGACAGTACAATAACTTAGCAGGATTTAGTCCAGGGTCACCTAAGTGGCAGGACTCAGATCCCAAAATTCCTAGAACAGACCTTGAGAGAAGCAATAATGGATTAAGGTAGAACTACAACCTATTAGTTTTACTACTTGCAATAAAAATGGAACTGAGAAAATATTTCTAAGCTATAGTTCTCCAGACGCCCTCTTTTACTTTATTATTCACTCTTGCAGAACTTCGCTTTAATTAGGCACTTTGAAGTGCTGCAATGCATTCAATCTCAATTCTGGCATCCAAGGGTAGTGCGGCTACTTGATATGTTGAACGAGCTGGAGCAGGTGCCGGAAAGTCTGCAGCAACAACAAGAAATCACTTGGTCAGCTTGACCTGAGTTCTTCATGGTTGATCTTGAGAATCAATTACATGCCAAGTTGATTAATCAATGAATATAATTCAACTTAACTAACATAAAACTTACATTTAGCATAGATCTCATTTACTTTCTTGAAGTCTTTCAAGTCAGCCAACCTGCAGAGAGAAACAATTAAAAAGACTCATCTTTGCCTAACTCTATACCTCAAAGAATCAAGATTGTAGTGCGAAGTTACAGAAGATCATACATAATTGTTGTCTTAACCACAGAGGAATAATCAGCACCACTAGCTTTCAGTATTTCACCCATATTTTTCAGAACCTGCAAATTTTTCGTAAGCCCAGATCAGCCAGAGCTGTAAAGAAAGTGAGCTATCTTATGTCATAGTAATTCAAGCCAAGTGCCGACCAATCAAACAACCAAGTAACATTTCGTTAAGTAAAAAAGGCTTTACTAATAAAAATAAAAAAGCATTTCCTAAATATGCAAAAGTTGTATGGACATCAGTCTTAACATCCACTCCCCTCCCTAAAAACGGGGATTATGAAACAAACAATATACGACAAAGAAGAATAAACAGCATTTAGCACTCCCAGGCATGTAGAAGTTTTTAATTCATGTAATACTCAGAATGCGCAAAAGAAAAATTAAGGATTGAGATGGCTAGCTCATAGGTTACTAATTTACCTGCTCTGTTTGCTCCTCTACACTCTCTGAGACAAACTTCCCAGTCTGGAAGAGAGTACCAGAAAAATACAATCAGTAGAGCGGCACATGAAAAGCAAATCGACAAGACTGAGATGACAAGTATGTGTATGCACAATTGAAAAGAACATTCATCTATTTCATAAATAGTTATCACATTATAATATGCAGGCCCATTTATAATAAAACCTAATATTGAAGCAAAACCCTGAATGAAAAACATCACAAACCTCTGGAATAAGACCAAGAACTCCAGAGACAAAAACAAGATTATTGGCTTTGATGGCCTGAGAATACGGTCCCAATGCTGCTGGTGCCTTGTTAGTCGCAACAGCCTCCTTCAAACCTACAATCACGACATAGTCAGCACCATTACATGTTACCGATCCATAAGGATCCCAACAAAAAAAGCTTCCCAATTACAATAAAAATTATTCAACCAATTATCTCACAGCCTCAAAACAAAATCGCCCAGTGATTTATCTCTGTAACTTCATTCACATATTTTTCTAATTACATAATGTAGTTAAAAAGTCCAACATTCCGTTAATAATCATTCATAAGTTGAAAACCACAACTGGAATCCACATATAAAATTCAACTCATCCACCTATCAAAATCCCAAACTTCAGTAAAAGTCTCAACATAAATAAATATCAGCACCAAAAACCGAACCCAAGTTCCAAAATCTCAATGTACTTGTAACACATTTCATGCTAATAAAATTGCAACCATATCAACCGGTCACAAAAGCCAAAGCACAACTAATTAACCTCATTTCAACTCACAAAATCCCACTGACACTCTAAACTACACATAGTAACAAAAAGTCTCAATCTTTCATCACAATCAAACTCTCAAACCAACTACACTGATTTTTCACCACACATTTACATCATCAACGCAAATGGGTATCACGCAAATCAATAAAAAAATGAAAAACCCACAACAAAAATATATTTAAAAAAAAAAAAAAAAGTGAATCGAGTTTTACTAGGAATAGCTGATGTTGATAAGCAAGCAAAGGGACTGGTGTGTGCTCTAGATGAAGAACACCACAGGGTGGAGGCGGCGACGGAGGCGCAGCCGAAGCCGACGGCAGCCAAAGGAGACCGTGTGCGCAGTGCGCCCATGTCGACAGTGGGGACATTAAACGACCTTAATGAACACCAAGCCATCAGTCTCTGTCTCTCTGAATAACAGTCTCGGTTCACTTCACCTGTGTTTGGTGAGAGTGAGACTTTAAAAATGGTGGCTTTTCTTGTCCTGTCTGTTTTTAATAAAAACAATATAGGTGTTACCTGGGCTTGGGCTTCATAAACCAAGATTGGGCCTGAGAGCTTAGGTTTGGGCTGTTTGGGCCTTCGAAAGCCCAATACCACGAAAACAAAACAATTACAATAACAATCTCATAATTAACCGGTGGATCTAATTTAAGAGTTGTTTAACTCATCATTTACATTACTATAAATGATATATAAATTAATTTTCAACATATTTAGATGTCATGAGATTTGTATTACTTCATACCAAGTACAATTTATTATTGTTGATTTACTTTAATTATTCTATAGTTTGATATAAAAATTATCACACACATTTTTTACAATTTGGGAAACATTTCGACTTAACAATAAAGATGGGCTCATAAGTTCAATCTTACAAACTTTCTCTCATAACTCCAAAACTGCAGTTCACAATTGGAAATGTTGGACCCATTTACAATTGGGTTGTAAGTATAGTATTACCTTCAAACTTAATCGACGAGCTTAATTTAAAGTTACTCACTGGTGTTGACTGGGATTTTTAACTAGTAAAAACGACCAATAATTAATGCATCTCCAAGAATTATAGCACAATTGTTTTGGCTTAATATATCATATCTCACATCGTTCATGAATGAATCTGAAATTCAGTTTACAAGACTTAGAGATTTCAATTGATTAGATGAGTGAGTTCACTTGTCCACAACTACAAATATGTTTCTTTACAAACACTTTCTCTACACACAGGGCAAGTGCCATTTCTAGTTACCCATTTATCTATGCATTCCAAATGAAAACAGTGTCCACAATTAGGAAGCTTTCTTGCAGAATCACCCTCCAAGAAATCCTGAAAAAAGAAAAAAAACAGTCAAATCCAAGAACCCATAACTCTAAACTTATTCATAACTTTGTTAACAGCTTAAAGTCAAGATGTATATATATTCACCTGTAAGCAAATTGAACAGCAAAGCTCATGGCAAATTTGGACCATGATTTTAGAATCAACTGTAAATTCAGGAAGCTTTAGAATTGAATCTCTGGAAAGCCCTTTAACTCCATTGACATCATATACATCAGAAATCTCTCTGTAAGTAGTTTCCAATGTGCTAATCTGAGATTAATAACCAAGTTAATTTCTGATTAGATTTCACATTATCTGAACAAAAATTTTCACTAAAAGCTTCATAAATTGGAGCGATTACTTACTTGCCACTGATAGGCTTTGAGCATTGCTGGACTTACCCATTCCGTGAAAACCTTGCCATTCATTAAGCTAGTTAAGAGAGCAAGCTGTAAAAAATAATAAATTATGTTGATTAATTATCTCTCTCTGGTCCTCGATTAATTTCCATTTCTTATTGATTTGAAAATTACTGTTAACTAAAGGAGGAAGTGTGTTATAATTAGTGGTAGAGAAAGTTTTAACCATTTTACCTTGGACAATGACTCTCCATCAGCTGCTGATTCTAGTAACTGCATAGCTGTAATGGCACCTGCCACTGCACCTATTCCAGCCCCATGAAGGAACCCAGTTTCAGTTGTTTGGCCTTTCATGGCTCCCACAATTGTTCCAACTATTGCCCCACCTGGAAAACCAAAGAGAAATAAGCCTGTTAGTTCATGACTTCATGTATCAGTTTTACGCGACAAGACTTAGTTATCAAACAAACTAACAAACGCCGTATTGATTCTTCATTGTTACAAAAAGACTGAGACCAAATAGTAAGTTTATTCAGAATATATACATACATACCTAATGCAAAAGTGCAGGTGAATGAAGCATAGAGACCTTTCCTCAAGGCTCTAATCAAAACCCCATTTCCAGAAGCACCAAACATGGCAAAAAACCACAGAGAAACCACCACTTTACACTTAAACGACATGTCTATTAGCCCAGAAAACCACTCTTTCAACATGGGGAAAAACAAACTCGAAGAGGAAAAAAGAGATAAAGGTGAAAACCAATTGCTAACTTGGATAGTGTACTATATTTATTAAGAAGAAAAAGCATTAGATTAGAGTTTGCTTCGGGAATATGCATAAGCAACTCAAGCATTTTATAGGGCAAGAAGAACAGCAGCATTTATGTGGGGTTTAAGTCAAAAGACTTGAGAGCCAGAGCTACAAGACAAATGCAGCTACATGCAAAATGAAATGGGAAATGAGCATTAATGCTTCTAATCAGACTTTACGAAAAATGGTAATACAATATAATATAAAATGCCAGTGATTTGATTGCCCATCCATTATTGTTTCCAGAATCCATTAGAACTTAGAAGATAACTCTTTACTTGGAACTTATAGTGACAGATATGGTGAATTATATGAGTTAAATAATTAGTAAAACTTTGTTTAGTAATTGTTTAAAGGCTTAATCTCAAATAAAGAATGGAATGTTAGTATATTTGGATCAAATCCAATCTGCAATTTAACAGGATGGTAAAATAAAATTATATGCTATAACACTGGGAAAAGTAAAAAAAATTCGAATAAAGATAGATTTACAAACGTATAAGAAATGGTCATTCCTTGAATGAGGATGGAACGATTGTTCCTTGGATGAGGAATGGTCATTCCTCATTGAATAGTTATTCCATAGGAAGGAATGACCATTCTGTAGGAAGGAATAATCGTTCATCCCTAAGAAATGACCGTTCCTTATACGATGAACGATTGTTCATTCCTAAGGAACAATCATTCATGTTTAGTGAAAGTTGTGATTTGATGTAGTAATGTCATGTCGACATTCGTGAGAAAAAGTTATAAAATTCATTTGTTAGCGTAGTATTAACAAAAAAAAATCTCCTTCAAATTGGCTACTTCTAGATCTCAAAAGTTATTTTATTCCCAACAGTCTCTCATTTATTATTATTGTTATTAATTTATATGAAGTAAACAACTTTTTTCCACCCAAGGTTTGCCTTAATGACACTCTCATCCAAAAAGTTTCAAAATATCACTTTTCCACCCAAAGTTTATATTCTATTAATACCCAACATACATTTCACTTTCCCATTCAGAGTTCAACGAGTTACCAGGAGCCAAGGTAAGAGGGGTTTTATAGAATGGAGGCCAATGGCTCGAATGGTGGTGATCAATTGAATATTCGCTGCCTAAATCAGTTAGAAATCAGCTAAAAAAGCAATTAGAGAAAAATTAGGTACCGTGCTAGAGTGAGAGGTGTTTTGTAAAGAGAAGACCAAAAATGGTGATAACAGAAAGAATTTTGGCTATCAAAATCAGCTTTGAAACTTTGGGTAGTAATGGAATATTAACTTTAGGTGGAAAAGTGGTATTTTGAAACTTTTTGAGTGGAAAATAACCATTAAGGCAAACCTGGGGTGGAAAAAAGTTGTTTACTCTTTATATGATGATAGATTGTTGGAGGAACATTCAAGACACATACACTAACCCTACAACACATGCATCATTTAAATAGAGAAGGTAAAACAATAACGGGCACCAAAAAATCTCATCCTACGCTAATTAAAAATAAATGTTTTGAGATTTAAACATACGTTAAAGAACTTATTTTTATAAGTGATTCAAAGTTTAACTTTTAACCATTTTTGACGCTTCATCTGTGTCTCTCATTTTATTTTATCAGAACTCAGTATACCTTCTACAAATTAGAGTGACTAATTGGGCACTGTTGCATGAGAAGGTGGAGCCAGACCAGTCGTTTGAATACAGAATGTCTTGGAACAGTCACCATTGGTTACCACCACAGCCATCTCTAGCCATTAGATTGGTCTTTTGCATCATGTAATAAAGGTTAACTTCGGCTAGTCAGTAGTGACACTGAGACTGCAGTACTACAACAAAGCCAGGGGCGCCAATAGCAGCGCAAAGTGGAATCAGAAACCTCCAAAACCGGGTGCTGGGATTGTTTTTATACTGCTACTGTGGGCTGAAAATTAACAAGTGTTGAGTACGGAGATCATGTTCGGGACACAGAAAGTGGTCCTTTTAAATGGCATTAAATGTTAGCACTAGCTTTAGATATTTTCACATAGTTGATAGGTCTGCTTCAGCTTCACCCATAATTATATTTCCTAGTCATTATTCTCTGTACCACACTTCAATTTCAGAATTTAGTCTAGTCTCTGGCCTCATCCAAGGTTAGGAACCCAAAACTATTAGCTGCTAAACCATTTTTGGCTGCTGCGGATTGAATCTTAGCTGGAAATAAACTAGAACTTCTTGTTTCCTGCTCAAAACAAGTGTTCTTCGAACTACTTTAGACTCACAGATTTGCTTCTGGGTTTCACAGGGTGTCTTGTACTCAAAACACTTCTTTTTATTTGTGACAAATGACTATATATATGTGCATCAAATGCAAATTAAACCAACTTTAAGTTCATTTTGGATACAGCAGCAACTCAAAGAGNCAATATAATATAAAATGCCAGTGATTTGATTGCCCATCCATTATTGTTTCCAGAATCCATTAGAACTTAGAAGATAACTCTTTACTTGGAACTTATAGTGACAGATATGGTGAATTATATGAGTTAAATAATTAGTAAAACTTTGTTTAGTAATTGTTTAAAGGCTTAATCTCAAATCAAGAATGGAATGTTAGTATATTTGGATCAAATCCAATCTGCAATTTAACAGGATGGTAAAATAAAATTATATGCTATAACACTGGGAAAAGTAAAAAAAATTCGAATAAAGATAGATTTACAAACGTATAAGAAATGGTCATTCCTTGAATGAGGATGGAACGATTGTTCCTTGGATGAGGAATGGTCATTCCTCATTGAATAGTTATTCCATAGGAAGGAATGACCATTCTGTAGGAAGGAATAATCGTTCATCCCTAAGAAATGACCGTTCCTTATACGATGAACGATTGTTCATTCCTAAGGAACAATCATTCATGTTTAGTGAAAGTTGTGATTTGATGTAGTAATGTCATGTCGACATTCGTGAGAAAAAGTTATAAAATTCATTTGTTAGCGTAGTATTAACAAAAAAAAATCTCCTTCAAATTGGCTACTTCTAGATCTCAAAAGTTATTTTATTCCCAACAGTCTCTCATTTATTATTATTGTTATTAATTTATATGAAGTAAACAACTTTTTTCCACCCAAGGTTTGCCTTAATGACACTCTCATCCAAAAAGTTTCAAAATATCACTTTTCCACCCAAAGTTTATATTCTATTAATACCCAACATACATTTCACTTTCCCATTCAGAGTTCAACGAGTTACCAGGAGCCAAGGTAAGAGGGGTTTTATAGAATGGAGGCCAATGGCTCGAATGGTGGTGATCAATTGAATATTCGCTGCCTAAATCAGTTAGAAATCAGCTAAAAAAGCAATTAGAGAAAAATTAGGTACCGTGCTAGAGTGAGAGGTGTTTTGTAAAGAGAAGACCAAAAATGGTGATAACAGAAAGAATTTTGGCTATCAAAATCAGCTTTGAAACTTTGGGTAGTAATGGAATATTAACTTTAGGTGGAAAAGTGGTATTTTGAAACTTTTTGAGTGGAAAATAACCATTAAGGCAAACCTGGGGTGGAAAAAAGTTGTTTACTCTTTATATGATGATAGATTGTTGGAGGAACATTCAAGACACATACACTAACCCTACAACACATGCATCATTTAAATAGAGAAGGTAAAACAATAACGGGCACCAAAAAATCTCATCCTACGCTAATTAAAAATAAATGTTTTGAGATTTAAACATACGTTAAAGAACTTATTTTTATAAGTGATTCAAAGTTTAACTTTTAACCATTTTTGACGCTTCATCTGTGTCTCTCATTTTATTTTATCAGAACTCAGTATACCTTCTACAAATTAGAGTGACTAATTGGGCACTGTTGCATGAGAAGGTGGAGCCAGACCAGTCGTTTGAATACAGAATGTCTTGGAACAGTCACCATTGGTTACCACCACAGCCATCTCTAGCCATTAGATTGGTCTTTTGCATCATGTAATAAAGGTTAACTTCGGCTAGTCAGTAGTGACACTGAGACTGCAGTACTACAACAAAGCCAGGGGCGCCAATAGCAGCGCAAAGTGGAATCAGAAACCTCCAAAACCGGGTGCTGGGATTGTTTTTATACTGCTACTGTGGGCTGAAAATTAACAAGTGTTGAGTACGGAGATCATGTTCGGGACACAGAAAGTGGTCCTTTTAAATGGCATTAAATGTTAGCACTAGCTTTAGATATTTTCACATAGTTGATAGGTCTGCTTCAGCTTCACCCATAATTATATCTCCTAGTCATTATTCTCTGTACCACACTTCAATTTCAGAATTTAGTCTAGTCTCTGGCCTCATCCAAGGTTAGGAACCCAAAACTATTAGCTGCTAAACCATTTTTGGCTACTGCGGATTGAATCTTAGCTGGAAATAAACTAGAACTTCTTGTTTCCTGCTCAAAACAAGTGTTCTTCGAACTACTTTAGACTCACAGATTTGCTTCTGGGTTTCACAGGGTGTCTTGTACTCAAAACACTTCTTTTTATTTGTGACAAATGACTATATATATGTGCATCAAATGCAAATTAAACCAACTTTAAGTTCATTTTGGATACAGCAGCAACTCAAAGAGATAAAAATCTGGCATTAAGTTTGATATTTTAGTATCATTTATTGTGGAGGAGGTCCACTCCAAAGATATTTTGCTCTCTGGTTCTGACATCTGCATGTCTCCCGAAATGTAACCTCAGCATCATGCCAGCAATAAATTTTTCAATTGAATAGATAACTATGGTTAGCCAAGTTTCCCATTTCTCTTGCGGTTGCAGGACTGCAAAAATTAAGAACCAACTTGACTTGCATATTTCCCAAGACTCCATTAATAAAACCAAGGGACCCTTTACCTTTTGCATAACGCTGGTCAAAGAATATTAGATTACTGATAATATTAGATTATTGAGAAGGTAGGTTATCTTGAAAGATTATTAAGAATTTTTAGAAAAATACGTTTGATTAGTTGGTGGGTATGTTATATTGATATCTTTGGTTATAGAGAATAAATTGGTGAGTATATTTTTAAATTATTAAATTATTCTCATTTTAAATATTAATATAATATTATTTTTATTATTAA